GGACAGTCAGTCAGTACGGTTCGGTACAGTCAGTTCACATCAGTTCGGGAACAATTCGCATAAGTCAGTTCAATCGGCCAACAATTGACACTTAATGTTAGTATGTTCACAAGTCGGCACAGACTAGTTGCGCAGTCTATGCATTCCCCAAGGTCAGGGCACCTGGATTTAATCGGTTTGCTTATTTTAAAGTGAAATGCATCCGATAGCCATCAGTTCGGAATGGCCATTAGGTAAATTTAGCCGTCCGTTCGCGATAGCAGTAAGTACGGGTTAACCGCTGTTGATGACTGTCATCAGTTCCGTATGGCCATCAGTTTGTGATTGTAATTAAATCGAGATTGTCATCAGTACGGGTTAACAGTAAATTCGGGATAACCTTCAGAACAGGATATACATCAGAATGTTTTGGCCATCAGTTCGGCAGAACAGTCATTTCGGGATGGTCATTAATACGTGATTATATATGGGATGGCCATTAGTACGGGAAGGCAGTCAGTTCGGGATGGACATCATTAGGTTGGTTCAGGTAAGCAGTCAGTTCAGGGAAGCAGTCAGTTCGGGATGGACATCAAAATAGAATGTATATCAGATCGGGATGGCCATCAATAATGTTGGCCATCATTTCGGGTAAGCAGTCATTTCCGGATGGACATCAATACGGCCATCAATAATGTTGGCCATCAGTTCGGGTAAACAGTCATTTCCGGATGGACATCAATACGGCCATCAATAAGGTTGGCCATCAGTTCGGGATGGAGATCAATAGGGGTGCACATCAATATGGCCATCATTTCGGGAAGGCAGTCAATTCGGGATGGTCATCAGTGCCATTGTTTTTGGTAATTGGATCGTAGGTGGTATCGGTTATCGGGTATCAGTTCTGGTCGTCAAATCATATACTGTATATGTGTTAATATATTAACACATAAAAAAAATAATTCATTAATTGGTAGCTTTTTATTAATAGTTGAAAGGGCTGTGAGGTAGGTATCGTATCGCTTGATCACCAAATGCAGGTAAGTCGGGTCTATTCGGTCTCATATCCGTCGGTGATACTGCCGACCGATGCCGTGAAGTTGGCCAATAAGCCACTTCCGGCCGGCGGCACACAAAACACAAACTTATATAATTAAACTTTTATTTATTTAATGTATAATATAAGACAACTTTTTATAATTAATTGAAGGCTTTTTATAACCTTAATAATATTACATAATAAGCAAAATTAATGGTTTAAAAATGCATAGTTAGCGACCCACTGGCGCTAACTATGCTAAATCAGCTTAAATTAAATTAAATTACAATCAGTATTAATCAGTATTTTTAATATATTTTTATAGTTATCAGCATATTTAGTTATTTTAAATGATAACTATTTTACAATATTTTAGTCCTCAAAATCGAAAGAAAAATATTTTTAATTTTTAAAAAAATACATACATAAATTTAAAAAAAATAACACGGTGGATAAAAATGTCTAATATAGCATCTATAGTTAACTATCTAATATTTTTAATATTTAATTATATGGTCATTACTATAATTATTTAGCTATAATATTTTAATTTATTATATATTATTTTTTTAATATTAATTTTTTTAAATAACTTTATTGGTTTTACTTTTTTATGAGTTTACTTAATATATTTAATTTTATGAAAAAAACTGCAATTTTTTATTAATATTATATGAAATATATATTTAATTTAAAAATAGAATATATAGTTAGTAAAAGAATGTTATGTTAGAGTAATTTTTAAATTTTTTAATAATTAATATGTTTATTATAGTAGGCGATTATATTTTGTAATTTAAATTAAGTATATAAAAAAATAATTTTGATAATTTATAAATTGAACAATTTCTTATTTTTAGTAAATATATGATTTTAAAAAAAATCATCAATTATAATTATTTTATTAGTTAAAAATTAAAATAAAATATACTTTATTTAATTTATGAAATAATATGTATAGATTTATTTATAGTTTATTTTATATTTTATTATAACTTAATTAATTATTTAATAAAATAAACTGTAATATTAGTCAAATTTAAAATAAAAACTTATTTACATATATAAATAAATTAAAGAAAAAAATATTTTAATCAAATATAAGTTTTTAATACATAATTATTTAAAAACTGTAATATTAGTCAAATTTGAAAGAAAAGAAATTTTTTAAAATATAACATTAATTAAAACTGTAATTTTTCTAAAAATTATATTTTTAATATATACTTTATATACAAAATAAATATAACATTTATAGTTTAATGATGAAACTGTAATTTTATTAAAACTTAGATTTAATATTTTGTTTAATTTTAAAATAAAAAAATATAATTAGATAATAACGAGATAAAAATTCTAATTACTGATTTGTTTTTTTTGTTGTTTAATAGTTTAACCAAAAATAATAGTTTGTTATTGAATTTATTTAAAATAAAATATTATTAAAATCATGTTTTCAAAAATTGCCTACTAAAATATTATTTACAAGTTTACTTATTTATTTTATTAATTTTTTTTTATAAATTAAACAATCAAATTTTTTTTTAAATTTCATGTAAAAGTAAACAAATTGATTAGCTAAGAAAATAAATATAGACTAAATTTTTTTTTAATAAAATTATTATTAAATTGATAATTATAACCTGAAATATATATATTATATTCATTATGTATGTATAATAATTAGTATACATTATGATTTTGTAATATATATTTTTTTAATTTAAAATAAAAGTTTTATTAAAATTATATAACTATTTTTGAATTATATGCATAAAAAAGAACTGTAATAATAATTTTATTTTAAATTTAATCCTTAAATTATAAAATTAATAATTATTTTTAGATATCAGGAATTTTAAGTTTTTTTTGTACATACATAAAGATAACAAATTATTTATTAAAAAAAACTTAAATTTTATAATTAAAAAGTAGCTATTTGCAATTAGACAATTAATAATTTATTTTATTTTTTATAATTAGAAATTTAATTACTAATAAAAATTATTATCTTATTTTATGCTAAATAATTTTATTAATATATTTGACAAATAGAGAGCAAATATAAGATTTTAATTTTAACTCAATAATACTATTTTAATTTATTTTCAAATAAATAAAATTAAAAACTTTTGTTTTTTTTAGTTAAATTTAAAACAATAAAACTATATAAAAATAATTAATAGAATAATCTAAAAATTAAAAAATATTTTTAACTAACTTATTTATACCTTTAATTTTCTATTAACTAAATTATATATTAAATGTTTTATATATATATATATTAAATTATATTAAATAGTTGTTTATATATATATAAAATTTAATGTTAAAATTTTTTATATATATAAGTTTTGTTAAGATTATATAAAAATTATATAATAAAGAACTGTAATAGTAATTATTTTCTTTAATTTAATCCTTAAATTAAAAAATTTATAATTATTATTAGTTTACTGGAATTTAAAGATTTTTTTGTACATACATAAAGATATCAAATTATTTATTAAAAAAAACTTAAATTTTATTATTAAAAAGTATTTATAATGCAATTAGACAATTAATAATTTATTTTATTTTTATAATTATAAAAATAATTTTCTAATGTTAATTATTCTTTGTATTTTATAATAAATAATTTATTATTTTTTTAATTAAAACTGTAAAGTGTTGTATTTGTTGATTTTTATAACATAATTTTGCAATATTTTATTAATGTAATTGGCAAATAGAAAGATAATATAAGATTTTAATTTTAACTAAATAATACTACTTTAATTTGTTTTCAAATAAATTAAATTAGAAACTTTTGTTTTTTAGTTAAATTTAAAACAATAAAACTATTATTAAATAATTAATAAAATAATCTAAAAAGTGACATATATTTTTAACTAACTTAATTTTAGCATTAATATTTTTGTTATTAATTAAATTAAATATTAAATGTTATATATATATATTAAATTATATTTAATAGTTATAGTTAAATACATAAAATTTAATGATGTTGTTGTTTTAAGTTATTCAACTTAATATATTAAATATAAATAAACTGTAATTTAGATTAATGTAAATTTTATAACAATATTTTTTGCAATAATATATATAATTTTAGTAAAAAACGTTAGCTATTTTATAAAAACTATATTATACTATACTATTTTAACTATTTACTTAAAATTTTGAAATAAATAATTATAATTAAATAAAATTAAATTTGTTATAGTCATCACAAAATAATTTTTTAATATAATTAAATAAAGTTAATTAATTACTTTTATATAAAATCATTTTTAAAAAATCTAAGTAATTATTTTTATAGTCAATTAATTTGAAAATTCAAAAAAAATTATATCTAATACATATGACTAGTTAATTATAACTTGTTAGTTTTTTATTTTATTATTAATTCATAAATTTTTTAAATCATTTATAAGATTATAGTTTTTTTGTTATGTTGTAAACAAAATAAATGATTTAAATTTATAATTAATATTTTAGTAAAAATGCTTTTTTTAATTAAATTAAATTTAAAATGTTTAACAATAAATACAGTATAATTCTAATATAATCGATTGACTAAATTATTTATAAATATTTATATATAATTAGTATATTCACAATTAATTTAATATTAAACTAGAAATAACTTATATGTATTAATCATGTATTTATTAAATATATAAATTAAATTATTTTCTTATATAAAGTATTATTAAATTTTTTAATTAATATTATCAACAAAAAAATGTAATCAACTAAAATTTTATTTGAAATTTTTTTTTTATAAACAAAAAAAAATCATAACTTAACAACTCAAATTTTGAAATAAAAAAAATTAAATTTACAATAGAAAAAAATTATTTAATATTTTTTTTTACATTTTATAACTGCATTTTATACAATACATAATAAACATTATATACAAAAATATATAACGAAATATTGTTGGGTATTATTAACCAATAAAATAGTTAATAGTTTAACGGATCAACAGTTTGGAGGTCAACAGGGGTGCACCCAAAACACGGGCGTGCAGTCCATGATTGATGGCCAACGGGGCGGCAGCCAAATGGCTGACCACTGGAGCGGCGGCGTAGTGGGTGCTGACCAACGGTGCAGCGGCTAAATGGCTGACCACTGCTGGGCCGGCAGACAAATGGCTGACAACTGCTGGGGCGGCGGCATAATGGCTGACAACGGGAACGGTATGCAGGGTTGCCGGATGATGGACACTGCTCGAGTAGGAGCTAACTGAGCTAACCGGGGTATGGATGGCATACGAGTTGATCGAGTGTGAGGGCAGGGCTACCGACATACCGATTAGGGCGAAAAGTACCTATAGATAAATATTTTTTAAAAAATAATAAATAAATATTTAAAAAATAATAAATAAATATTTAAAAAAAATAACAAATAAATAAATACTCAATTAATTAATTAATTGATGAATTAATTAAATGAATAATTAATTAAATATTTAAAACAATATTATTATTAAATTAAAAAAATAATAATTGATTTTTTTTCATAATAAATATAAAACTGTAACTTTAGTATATATATAGTATATATAAATGTTATTTTTTAATATAAATTAAAAAGTAGTTAATTTTTGTTAATTGAATTAACTATATAAAACTTTTTTTTTATATAAAATAAATTTTTTTAAAAATAATTGTATTTTAAATTTATTAAGTTAATTATATTAGTTTAAATTTGTTGTTGTTATTGAAAAATTATCAAAAGTCAGAGTCATTACTAATTAATTTAAAAAATACTAATTAATTTATAGTTAAATACGAAACAATAAAATAGTTACAGATTTTTTAGATTATAAAATTAAATTAATCTATATTTAATTATTTATTTTAATATATAATTTTTTAAATAAAAATTAAAACTTACAACAATTGAATTCATTTTTTTAAAGGAGATTTTTATTTACTTCACACACAATATAAAAATTATTTTAAAATTTTTTTAAAGCAAACTGTTTTTAAAACATAAAAATTTGTTAAATTTCAGTGCTCTTTATATACCTATTTATTTTATCGTTAAAAAATATATTGAAAATAAATTACACAATAATATCCTCTCTCTCTCTCTCTCTCTCTCTCTCTCTCTCTCTCTCTCTCTGTCTCTCTCTCTCTCTCTTTCTTTCTCTCTTTCATAACTAACTTATCACTTATTAATTAACTTTTTTTAATTCAAACAAAACAAAAAAATCCTTATGACTAACCCTCAGCATCACTCAAACTACAAATTTAATAATAATAATAATAATAATAATAATACAGTAATAAATAACTATTGATAATATTCAAAAAAAAATAAATATATTTTACTCACTAATTTATCCTTAAATAAAAAAATTGTGTTAAAAATCTTAAATAATAATAATACTATTAAAATAAATTCCCTCCCTTTTGATGGATAGGGCGTAGTATATACTGTATAAATATATAAATTTTTATATATATATATATATACTGTATATATATATATATATATATAATATTGACTGTCATATCAATATCACGTTTAGGGAAAAGCCTATCAAAAAAATATTTCTATATATTATTATTAATTAGTTTTTTATTCATATCATACACACACAAAAAATCTTGTTTTTTCACTTTCATTATTATTTCAAAAAAAAAATATTTTTTATACACATTGTATAAAATTACGTATATATTAAAATATATATAAAAAAGTTATGCCTTTTTTTTGTTGATTTATTAACTGTTGAATATAAAAACGAAAAAAATATTTTTATGGTGTTTATAACGGTTTTAAATGTATTTTTTTTATTTAAACTTAATATATATTTAATATGTATTTAGTTATCATGTGATTAAAAATTAAATAAATCAATACTTGAAAAATAATAATAATAATAATAATAAAGGGGTAACAAAAATAAAAATGTCACTTTTTCTAAACAAATAAATTAAATTTATTTTTTAATTTTATTATTATTACTATTCTAGTTTTGATATATTACTTAACTAAATATAATTTATTTATTTATTTAACTATTATTTTATTTTTTATTGTGTAAGATTTAGTTTAATCTATTTATTTTATTATTAGACATAAATTTTATATTATTTAAAAATATATATTTGTTTATTGATAATAATATTTTAATAAAAAAAAAATTATTTCAAACAATTAAATTCATAACATTGTTATATACAGTAATTTATTTTATATATACTAATCATTTTACTTTAAGTTTATCAATTATACAATAAAAAACATTTTTTTTATAAAAAAAATAAATTTTTGATTTCTATGTCAAGGTTATTTTTCAAAAAAATAATTATAATTAATAGTTAGTTGCACCCGTTTATGTTACATCAAAATGTTTAATATTATATATTTTTTCAATAAAAAAATACTCAATAATTATATACTAGAATCTAATTTTTTTCATTAAAATATAATAATTTTTTTTGATAATAATAATAATTAGTATTATTAGTAATTTTTTTGTTATCTAATAATATTGTCAAACAAATAGATTATTATTATTTTTTTAATTATAGTAATCTACTGTATAAAAGATGGTACAAAAAAATAATTGCTAATTTAAAATCTAAAAAAATTAATAAAAAATACTTTAAGTAATATTTATCTATAACTAAATTAAAAATTGCAATTATATAAAACTTTAATTTTTTTGTTATATAACAATTTATTATTTAATATTAAGCATATAAATCAATATTATGAAATTATTTTTAATATCTTTTTTAGAAATTATTTTTATGTTTAATAAAAATCAACTAAAAGATAATAAATCAAATAATATAAATATATAGTATTAATAAATAGTACACTAACTGTATATATTAAGTCAAAAATATTGCAATTTTTAACTATTATTAAAAAAATTTCAAAATGTGATTACAAAAAAAAATATTTTTTAAAAACCAAATATATTTTAATTTATTAAATTGACCGCCAATTAGTATTTTTATTTAAAAAAAACTATTAAATATCATAAATAATTTTTTGACATTTATACAATATAATTTATTTACTTTATTTAACAATTTAAACAGTTTTAACTAAATAATATAAAATAAAATTTATATTTTTTTATGTATGCAATACACATAACCTAAATATACAACAAACTAATCAATTATGGTATTTAAACAACAATAACAACAAAATATACAATATTTTTAATATAAATGATATTTTTTTTGTTGAATTAAATAAATTAAAATCTATTGAATTTATATATTTTCAAATCTTTTTTGTTAAAAAATCAATGTTAATGAAAAAAAGTAAATTAATAATTTTTGTTGAAAATAAACTCATTGATAACTCAATAATAATAATAATTTAGTATTTAGTATTTATTTTACTTGTATTACAATTATTATTACTATTGTTATTGTTATTGCTAAATGTTATTTATTAGTATTTATAATGTTAAATAATTTTTTTTTTAAATTATTATTATTATTTTGATATCTATATATTGAAATATATTGTTATTATTATTTATTTTAATCAATAATATACTAATATCAAAATGCTAATATCATTTATCTATATATATATATTAATTATAACTTACTAATAAAAAAAAAGTTTAATATTATACAAAAATATTAAGATTTTTTTTATTTAAAAAAACGCGTCAATTAATTTCTATAAATTTAATAAATAATATAATAAATAAATAAAATTAAATAATTGTACTAGATATTACAATTTTTATTGAAATAATGATTGCAATATAAAAACTAACAAATATTTATTTTATTAATATTATTTGTATTATTATTATTAGTAGTAGTAGTAATAGATAACATTGAATATAAATCATTATCACTTAGTCTACTACTAGTAGTAGTTGTAAATCATAGTTAATAATAATAATAAAATTTATTTTATAAATTTCAACAAAAATGTTGTATATAAAACATTTTTAGCTGTAAATACTTATTGCATAAAATAAAATAATAATAATAATAATATAATTTTATGCAAATTAGATTAAAAAATAAATAAATTGAATTTATTTATAATTAGTTAATATAAAATTGATATATATATATATATATATATATATTTATATACATACATACAAATACATATATACACTTATATACACACACACATATATATATACACAAACACATATATATATACATACACATACACACATAATATCTATATATATATATATATATATATATATATATATAAATTAATAATGTTTATACTTAAATATATTAATGAAATTGATATATTTATTTAGTATATAAATAGATATATAAATTTATATATTATTTTCATTGAAATTATTGATAGTTATTAGATATAATAATGTGATAAATAGTAATAAAAATTAAAAGTGTTTTTTATATAAATATAAAATAAAAATATGATATTAAAATGTCAATGTCAAATAAATAAAATGTTTAATAAATGTGAAATGTATTATATTAATGTAAAATAATTATTAAAAAAAATTATATTATAATAGTTATAATATTAATAGAAAATTAGTTTATCAGTAGTAGACAAAAATTATAATAATTAAATTAAAATAGATTAAAAAATATTATTTTTGATAATATAACTAAAAGATCATAGTTTAATTTATTATTATTATTGTAATATATATTATATATATAATATTTATTTTATATAACAAAAAATTATTAGTTATCTAAAAAAATACAAAAAAGAATTATTTAATTAAAATAAATAATAAATTAATAAAAACAAACAAAAATAAATACAATTATTTCTAAATGATTTTTTTACTAAATAATTATAATTATATTTTTATAACTATAATAAAATTAATACAAAAAAATAATAAATAAATACAATTAAAAAATTATTATTATTTTTCAGATTTTAAAATCTCTGGACAAATATCTTTAACTTTTTTAGTCAAATCATTTAATTTCATTGTCTTATCATTCAACTGTTCCCTCAGCTCCTGTATTTCCTTATGTTTTTGTTTGACTACCTGTTCCAGTAGATAGTTATCGGTAATTGTATTCAACTTTTTAACCGTATCCAACCCGCGGTCCAATATATTATCCAATTTTGTATCAATAGTCCCGTGAAATGATTTAATAAAATGATTTAATCGATATTTTTTGGCAAACATATAGATATGTTGAATATTATCCAAATTGCTTAGACCTAAAAAAATAAATAAAATAATTGAAAAAAATTTCTAGAAAGTTTCTTAATATTTATAATACAGTAAATTTCTATTTATGGGATCACCATGGTTATTTTTTTTTTGTTAATCTCGATATATACTGCTATCATGTTTACAGTGTAATTGTTTTAGTTTTTAATATTTTAATTATTAATTGAAAGTAAAAATTAATTTATTTATTCTCTTAAATTCATATATATATATATTATAATTGATTATTATTATTATTAAATAATTATAATTATTTGCATATATATAGGTACCTCATTTTTTTGTATAATAGTGTTATATTTTATAGTATATGAATAGTAATATTATTAATCATTATTATTAATAGTATAACAAATATATATATATATATGGATAGACATAGTATAACAATAAAGTTTGAAATTTATTTCCCAGAGAAATTTTTATAGAAACTATTTCATAGGAAATAAATTTATTTCTAGAAACTGTATGTATGTGTGTGTGTATATGTGTTTATATGTGTTTATATGTGTGTATATGTGTGTATATGTGTGTATATGTGTTTATATGTGTGTATATGTGTGTATATGTGTTTATATGTGTGTATATGTGTGTGTATATGTGTTTATATGTGTTTATATGTGTGTATATGTGTTTATATGTGTGTATATGTGTGTATATGTGTGTATATGTGTTTATATGTGTGTATATGTGTTTATATGTGTTTATATGTGTGTATATGTGTTTATATGTATGTATATGTGTGTATATGTGTTTATATGTGTGTATATGTGTGTATATGTGTGTATATGTGTGTATATGTGTGTAAATGTGTGTATATGTGTGTGTCTATATGTGTGTGTGTATTATATCAAAAACTATTATATATTACTTATCAATTTTTGCTCCATCAGATCGCACAGGTAGCCAAGTTTATACTTATGGGCGCACAGATAGACATTGATGGCCAGCCAGAAATTTTTCTCATTAGTCAACTGATACTGATGTTCACAGTATATGAATCGTAGCATATCTTTGAACGATTGATAGTTAATATTGTCGTCTCGGTCTAAGACAATCTCCCGATGGTCGCCGATATCTGATAATAATTGTTCAAAAACTACCGATTTATGACATAATAGATAGCTATGGGCCGGTAGTTCATTGCCGTCGACAATAAACACAACATCACTGGTTGTTTTGTCCATAAAATATTTTAGTTCATTGCACTGTTGATTGTTGTTATTGTTTGATAAATTGATTGACATTTTTTTTTTAATTAATTAAATATTAATTAATAATATATTTATAATAAAAATAATACAATAATCATAACAAAAATTAATTTATTAATTTGTTTTTTTATTTTTTTTTTATTTTTTTTTAAATAAGTCACTAATTAATTATAACAACAACAGCATAATAATTTATAAATAAAAATATGTATTTTTTTTGTATAATAAAAAAACTGTAATATTATATTATAGTTATTAATTTATTATAACTTAATTAATAATTGTATTTTATAATTAGTTTGAGGACATAAAGTCTTAATATAATATTTTTATTTAAATATTTTATAATTATTAACAATTAAAAAACAAAACAAAAAACTTTAGTTTAAAATAATGTATAATTATTTTATACACGAAATATAAAATTTAATTGTAACTATGTATTGATTGATTGACACTTTTATACTATAATAATAACAATTATTATTACTATTAATATTGATATTATTATTTTTATTATTAATTTTTTAATTTATCAAAAAATAATAATAATAAATAACTAACTAAAGTGTCACTGCATTTTTCTAGCATGCTTATATATATTAATATAATTATTTATCTTATTTATAAATACTTAGTATATGATTAATATATATATTTATATTATATATATATATATATATATATATATATCTAGAAATATTTTTATCAATAATAATTGTTGTGTTATTTTTATTAGTAATAATAATAATAAATTTTTTGTTATTGTTGTGTAATACTGACAATGAAATCACTTTTTTTATTTGTTAATCTGACAATTGATTTCAATAATATCTAGAAAAATATATGACATATATATATATTTATATATTGATATATATTTCACACTAAACTATATACACTTACAATTTATAGTACAATAGATACAAATATTATATATTTATTATCTTTAATAATAATAATAGTTTAGATAATAATATCCGTTACCGTTAGGTATGTGTGTGTGTGTTATAAATATAATATATATTAGTATTTATTATTACAATATTATGAAATGTTTGGATGCAATTACACAGTAATTTAATAATAGATAGTTTTTTTATGTGTTAACAATAAAAATATTTTTTACAATAATTACTTTATAAATCAATTAAAAAACATTTCCTATTAATAGTACTAAAAAATGATTAAATAAATTAATAAAATTCAATCGGAAAATAATTGGCTAAACAATTAGCATTATATTTATGTAATAATTTGCTAAATGTGTTTAAAAATATAATATTAATATATATATATATAATTTTGTAATTTATTTATTTAAATTTTCAATGGTATAAAACTTTTAAAATTTAATATCAATTGTATAAAATGTTATACTTTATTAATTAGATGACAATTTTACTATTAATATATAGATATAGATATATAATTAATTTTAGAAACACAATAATTTTTATTAATTAATAACAATTGTAACTATTATTATAAATATTATTATAATTACATAAGTTATAAGTAATTTTAAATATTTTGTTATATATATTAATAATCTATTTATAAACAAATCATTAGAATATTTGATTTGTTTTTAAAATGTTTTATTTTTATTTAAATAAAATGTTTTTTTAAAATAATTTTTTTTTAATTTTTTTTAATTATTATCTTATTATGAATTTATTATTTGTTTTTATGTTATAATAATAATAATGTTAATTGAAATAATTTTTTAAAATAGAAAATTATTAAATAATTTATTGTTATTTTATTTAAACTGTAAAATATAATTAACTTGCAGTTATAATTAAAAATTTATATTTATATTTATAATATATAGTTAAACCGGTTAATGATGCCTTAATTTAAACAAAAATTTTATTTTATTTAAAATCTAAACAATAAAAAGTTAGTTAATGTATATAATACTTGTAGATAATATTTTTTTTTTTAAAACTATGTTTAATCATAAATTAGATAAAATTATTTATTGAACAAAATTATGCTAAATATAATAATAGCAAAAAAAATTACAATAAAAAATTAATATTATTTTTTTGTATTACTTATTAATTAAACAACTTAATAAAAAATAGTTATGATAAAAAAATATTCATGAAAATAATAATAGTATTTTAAAATTAAAGATAATAAATAAGTTTTTTTATAATCAATTAATTAAAACTAAAATATTATGATTATAATTAATAAACACATTATTACAGTATTATTATTATTGATATTTTTAATATGAAATATTAATGAAATAATGCAAACATTTTTGATGATAATAATAATAATATTAAATATTCACTTTAAAATTATTTTCAATAATTTAGATATAAATGTATTTTAAAAAACAGTAATTTTTTATTTCAATAATATTTTATTAATAATTTAAATAATATTATTTTTAATAATAGATTCTGTCCTATCAAATTCTGTTTTTTATTTTTTTTATTAATTAAATTTAAATCTTTTTTTTTAAATTATAAATAAATAATTATGATTAAATAATATTATTAAAGTAATATAAAATAAATATTAATTAATAAATTTTGTTTAAAACTATTTTAAAATTTATAAATTAAAAAATTAATATATTAAACATAATATTTTATATTATATAAATATATTAATATTATATATAATTTACACATTATTTGTTTAAATTTGAAATTTCTATGTATAATTTTTTTTTTAAATTAATTATTTATTTATATTTAAAAAAAACTATTCTCTTAATAATAAAAATATACGTAATCATATAAAATTTATTTATAATCAATAAAAAAAACTTATATTTTTACTTTATTAAATTTTTTTAAAGTGATAGTTATATTTAAAGTATATAATATATAAATACTATATAAGGAGATCTTTTAAATATCTTTGATATTGTTTTTATATAATTTTATTTTTTGTTAATTTGATATTATTATTATTAAAATTATTTTTTTAAAAAACTATACATTAATAATTATTTTTTTTTTAATAAATATATTTTAATCAATTTATTAATTTTGATTATTTTAAAACTGTAACTATTTATATAAATAGTATGTTATATATAAATTTAAAAACAGTTTTTACATATAAGATTATTTTGAAACGCCGTATATTTTTTTTAGAAATAAATAGTAAATTATAAATTAAAATATTTTTACAATAATTAGCCAAAAAAACAAAATTTTTATTTTACATAATCTTTTATTATTTATAGTTAATAATAAAAAATACGTGTATAATTATGTATTGATTGATTGATGACATTATTTTTTATATAATTTATTAATAGTTTTTTTTAATTATTTATGATAATAATAATTTCTAATATCTAATTTTTGATCATTGTGATTTTTATTATAAAAAAATAAAATAAAATTTAGTTACTTTTATAATATCAGATTTTTGTTCTAAATAATTAAAAAATTTACAATTTAATAACTAAAATTAAAAATTATTATTATAAATTAATTAAATAAAACATTTCAGTAATTTAATAAAATAAACTGTAAATATTTTCTATACGTAATAGTTTATTAAATTTAAAAAAAATAAAATTTTATTAATAGATAGATATTACATAATAGTATTTTTTTATATATTATTTGTTGCATTTAATGTATTATTAAAAAATGTACTATAATATTATTAATTAATTTTTTTAAAAAGTTTTTATATTATCATCTATTTTTTAAACACATAAAATAAAGTGTCAAATAATAAATATTAGTATTGTCAAATTATATTACAATAATTTAAAATAATTTTTTTTTTAAACTGTAATTTTTTATATAAATTATTTTTTTATTTAATTTAAATAATTATATATAATTATTAGATTTTATTTGTCCTACGCTTTTAACATTATTATTTTAATAAATAATTATTTATCACTATTTATTCACATTAATTAACAAACAAATATTTTTTTTTTAATTTTATTAATATAATGTCAAATTTTATTGTTATTTACCATTTATTGATTGACATTTATATTTTTTTATTATTATTATTGCTATAATTATTAAATCAAAACAAAATCAATTCACTTAAATGTCAATTCTTTATATAAATATAATTTGTATTATTAATATACAATAGTTATAATCAAAAAAAATAATATATAATAATTGCAACATTATCTATAATAATAAAAATAATATTTCAGATAATAATAATAATATAAAGTTATTAAAAAATATATTATATTATTTAACATTTTATAAATATAAAATTAATGTATATTTAATAAAAATATTTTAATTCATCAAACAAGTATGGGAGATATTATGATTAAAATTATCATAATTAAGAAAAATGTGATAAATATCAATTTTAAAAAATTAAGTGTTTTTATATAACAAATATGATAGTATAAAATGTCAAATACATAAAATGTTTGATAACTGTTGTATAATATTAATATACAAAAATAGTTATAAAATTATATTATACTAATTAAACAATAAAAATTAGTTTATCTGTAAACAAATTATAAATAATTAATATTAAAGTAAGTTATATATAATTAAATTACATAATACTATTAAAAACTATTAATAAACTTAGATAAAAAAAATAACATAGTTTAATAATTTAAATAAAATTTATTCAAAAAAATAATTTATTAGTTACTAGAGTACACAAAAAAATAAATATTATTATTTTTTAAATAAATTATTATATTTATATATAAATTAATATTATAATTAACAATGTATAAATAAAAAAAATAATATAATTTTAATAATTTAAATAAAATTTATTATAAATATAATTTATTACTTACTAGACTAAAATAAATAAATAATATTATTTCTAAAAATTTTTTATTATATAAATATATATATATATATTTATCAATATTATAATTAATAATTATTATCATAAATCACCGGGATAAATATCCTGAAATTTTTTATTCAAATCATCTAAATTCAATGACTGTATTTTGAGCTGATCTCTGAGCTCATGTATCTGTTTTTTTGTTTGTTTAACT